TGAGTTACTTCAGAAAGGCCATCTTCAAGATCAGAAATTCTCTCTTCTGCTTGTTCTAGTCTGCTGTTTAAGCTCTCTGTTGTGTTTTTTATATTGTTAAAAGAATCCTTCAGCTCTTCATACTCTGCTACCATTATTTTTTAGGGCATTAATTTCTTTGTACATTTCCTCCTTCAGGTCCTGGGTACTTTTTCTCATTTCATCGTGTCATCTAACTGAGTCTTCTTGTATCTCATTGAGTTTCCTTAGAATTGTTGCTCAAAATTCCTTTTCAGTCATTTCAAGGACTTCCTGTTTTATAGGATCTGGCATTTGAGAATTATTATATTCCTTTGGTGGTGTCATATTTTCTTGTTTTTTCATGTTTCTAGTATCTCTACATTGCTGTTTAGTCATCTGGTAGAGAAGTTGCTTTTTCTCATGCTGTGGAGGGGGCTTTGTGGAGAGGCAGTTCCTCCTATGGATGTGTTTTATAATGATGGTTGAATGGGGTGTTTTAGTATTGGTTCCAGGTAGATGCAATAGTGTAGTCTCCATGTAGGTACTTTGGCCAAATTTGGTGTTGGGAGTTACATGAGAGTGCCTCTGTGACCTAGTCACTGGGACACTTAGAATTTCCTTGCTGAGGTTGTTGACACCAGGTTGGTTCATCACGACACAGATAAGCTCTCAAATTTTGGGGGGCAGCATCTTGGAGTCTTGTCACTCTGAGGTTATGGTGGGTGTTCTTGGGCAGGACTGTTGGCAACCTGGCTAGCTCACCCTGACCCTAATGGGTACCCTGGGATATACTAGTGCTCCTGGATTTGAATGGGTGACTCTGGGTGGGTTTTCTCTTTTCTTCTTTCCTCTTTCCCTAGGCTCCACTGGTGACTCTCTGTCTGTACTGGTGAGTGGTCACCAGGTACCCTATAAGGTATTGGTAGCTACCGTTATGGCAGAGAGCCGTCCTTGTGGCAGCAGTTGCTATGGCAGTGGCTGTCATGGCCCACTCATTCCTCACTGGTGTCTGCAGCAGTGGCTTCCTGTCTCTGCAGCGGGGCCTCAGCAGCGGCTGGGAGGATCTCTCGGGGTGGGGCTCACTTGCCTCTCACAGGACTTTAAATCCCAGTGCTGAGAGCATTATTAGAGGTTGTGGATGTGGAAGCTGAGATTTCCTTCCCTTGTTTCCTCTGTACAATGCTGCAGAGACCAAATACATATTTCTTCTTATGTCACAGTTCTCTTGGCATGTGAGGCACTGATGGCCAAGAAAAGGAAAGGGTGATAATTTAGTCATGAATAAGACCAACCATGGATATATTTTTATATTTTTTGTTGTTGTTGTTGCTGGGAAGCCATTTATAGGACAATCTTTCTTTATCCTTTGTGGACAACTGAAAGAAGTGATATTTTACACAGTAGGATGAAGAGATGTAATAATTCATTATCCCTGAATAAAACATAGGCAAAAAATATGAAGATAATTGAGGATGACTGAAGATATAAAAATATTCAATGGTGCCACATTCAAGTCTAACATCTTTGATATTGTTTTCAGTAAGTCCCTGGGAATCAGCTGTTGAGCCAGAGATGGGAAGAGGATGAAGCCTGGGACAGTTCTGTTACACCTAGTTAGTAATTCTGCAAGGCTGTGGGAAAGCTTGGTGTGGAAGTCGTGAAGCATAATGAGGCTTGTGTGTCATTTCTATTGTTCTTACCCTGTTGTTAAGTCGTAGATGAAAGCAAGTAGTGTTGGAGCAACATTCCTAACCTCCAGGTGTAAAGGCTGTGGGAAAGCTTGGTGTGGAAGTCGTGAAGCATAATGAGGCTTGTGTGTCATTTCTATTGTTCTTACCATGTTGTTAAGTCGTAGATGAAAGCAAGTAGTGTTGGAGCAACATTCCTAACCTCCAGGTGTACCTAACCCTTGTGAAGTAGATGCCGTCACTACCCTCCCATATTCCTAGACCTTTCAGAGTTCTCAGTGGATTTCTAACTGTCAGTATTTGCATGTCTGTGGCTACAGCCTCTTTTCCTTGGAAATTCGAGGAGTGTGCTGCCTATTTGCAGGGCAGACCAGAGTAGCAAGGAATTATCTCTACCCACCCCCACCCCCAACCCATAAAGGTAGATACTTCAACCAGTGGCTCTCAGGAGTTGATGTATAAACACCCCAGCTCCTTGTCTCTGGGGTAGAACAATTCTGAGGTCTGCGTTTTGCACCAATTCCTTGCAGTTTTTCTGCAAGGTTGAGCTCTCGTGGCCCCCTTGGCAGGTGGCTTGATGACATGTTTTATTGGCTGTCATCTCTTCCCTATATGACCAAGCCACTTCATGCCAGTGTTCCCTGTACCTTCTGATTAAACTACCTGCACTTGCCTCAGAGTCTGCTCCTGGGGGAACCACACTAAGACACCTTGAATTTGGGTTCTCCCATAGGACAACTCTTGGCATCCCAGTCATAGAGAGAATACTGGGAGAATAGATTCAGGGTATAAGTCAGTGTACTATTTTTTATTTTGCAAATTTCTTGGAAATTATCTCATCTGAATATACTCTAATACTGTAGTAGTGACATTAAAGGGGCTGGTGATTAGATAAAATACATGCTTGTAGGGGAAAAGAAGGAACCATTCTTGAGTAAAGTGGACATCTGAAGAATGTCCTGGATTGCCCACATGCAGGGATGATAATCAAAATAATTAACAACCAATCATAAAAGATGCCGGCCTGTATGCTGCAGGGCTGCCATACCAGCTGACCACTGGCTCAGCCCAGTGAAACAGGGATCCTGGTTTTTCCTGGATCAAATCTTCTGGCCAGGTTGAGAGGACACTGGGCATAGAAGGGTTTACATGGCTTTCTCCAAGGGCACTCAGGGAGATGAGTATGATTTTGATTCCTTCTCAGAAGAAGAAGCGATGAACATGAGCATTCATTGAACATCTTCAAAATAAGCTAAGGGCCACATCATCAGGGACTTTGTCAGCTTTACACTCCAACATATTATTTGTGTGCTCTTCTGACTATGAAAGTAAAGGCCACATACAGCACTTGAATTCCTTCTAGAGAATTCTCTCTTCTCCACTGTGGGTAGTCTGGGCAAAGACAAAGTAGCCAATTAGCCAAGGGGTACGTGTTTACATGACCCGAGATAAACCAAGCAGAGTCTTTTGCCTGGGACTACGAAAGTGAAGCACAGTGATGAGAGAATGGGGGAAAGCCTTTGGAGTTCATTTATGCAGTGAAGGTGAGGCACCCGTGTTCTCCTCACTGCGCCCTGCCCTGCTGTCATATATGCCCAGCTGTGACACACTCTGCTGCAACAGCTGATGCAACATTTGACTTTCCCACCCTGCTGTAATGGCTAACAGACCTGGAACTTTTCTCACCTAAACAGAAGTTATAACCAAATAAGGTCCCCCCTTACCCCACTGTAAAAACTGGAAGTTTAACAATCTAAAAGAGACAGCCCCACTGCATTCGGGGCTCAGCCTTTGTGATATGAGTCTGCTGAGCTGTTGCCAGCATCAATAAACTCTGCCTCCTGCTACAAGCCTCGGTGTCCTGCCTGTCCTTGAGAGTTCACTGTAACACAGCTGCAACATGCTGTTCCAAGGGTGCTAATTTAGTCACACAGTGGGGATGCTATAGAGTTAATGGTTAACCAATTCCTGCTAGCCAGACCCCAGAGTTGCCTGGTTTCTTTTCATATCCTTGACCTTCTCAGCTGGTTCTGTGAATCTTCTGATAGCCTTCCAGTAATTTCCTTTCATTATTTAAAATTTCCAGAAGTGATTATTTTTGCTTGCAACCAAAGAAACATAATAAATTTGAGTCTGATATGCTTATCTTAAGCTATATTTTGTCGGGAGTGGACTCCTTGGAAGAGAGTGTGTGGCAGCAACCACTGAAAATAGAAGAAAAGGTGCCGGTCCCTGGATCTTCAGCAAACAAGAGAAGACACAGGAGGTTGGTGTGGGCCTGAAGGATTTGGTGTACATCACTTGAAGATCAGCATCACCTCAGGTGGCTCCCAGTTACCTGTGGAGCTAGAATTCCATCCCTAGCTTTTTCATTGTCCCATGGGTTGACTGGCTTATCAGTCAGGAACTTCTCATAAGCAAAGCCCTAGGGGTTTGGGCAAAGGTCAAAGGGAAAAGGTCAAAGGCTCAGGTCAGGCTCACTTAACCTCTTGTTAGAAATTCTGGTAGACAAGGAGGAAGTGGGCATTGAAATCATGGGCTAAAATTAGGCCTCACTGGAATACAGAGATGTCATTTGCCATGACATTCAAATTTACTACAAAGCAATTATATGTGTATGTACATTTCATGGGAACTATATTGTAAAGTTGGTGGATTTTCTTTTCTTTTTTAATACTTAATTTCATTAAGAAAATGGGAAATGAATTTTCTTTCACAATTTTAACCATTTCTTTGCCAGTGTTGGGTACAACTAATTCATATCAACCTCTCAAAGGGAACCATCTCAGTACCCTGCCACAGAGCTTTGCCTAGAAGCCATGTCTTTTATAGAATTTTGCTCGGGCAAGAATGTCGTTGACCAAGTTAGTGTCTATGTCCGCTGGGGTGACAATGGCTTCAATTCCTGACTTAAAGGCTGAGAGACCACCTGAAATGAAACACAGAGGTTTAGACTCAAATATTAACTTTCAGCAGAAATAAGATATGCGCATTCCCAGGATGTCAGCCCTCCAGGCAAATCTTCCAAAGCAGGCAGTCCCAAATCCTCCTCCCCCTTCCTCCCTTCCTGAAAAGATATGCTACCCCCAGAATCACTGGGAAAATTTCAGATTGCTTTCTTTATCTCTTTTTTTTTTCCTTTTTGTCTTTTTTCGTGACTGGCAACGGATCGCAACCCTCAGTGTCGCGCCCATACCGGACCGGGACCGGCAACGTGATCGCAACCCTCGGTGCCGCACCCGTACCTCGCTCAGCCAGTGAGCGGCCGGTCTGTATGTGGGATCCGAACCCTCGGTGGGAGCGCCGCCGCGCTCCCAAGCAGTGCACTGTAGCAGTGCGCCACCGGTCTGGCCCCTTTATCTCTTTTTTAATGTTTTTGTTTTTCTTGCTGCAGGGGTAGATTTGGTTTTTATGTAGTCCGGGCCTGGCAGAATTAGATCCCCAGCAAATCTTCAGTCTGAGAATACTTGTAACATACTCTCATTTATTCAGTAGTTCTATCATTTATGCACTCACTCATTCATTCATTCATTCATTCATTCAATAAATATTTTTAAGCATCTACTATGTGCTGGGAAAGGTACCACACTGAGTGCAAGCAATCCCAAGACACATTCATTTCTTTGTAGGGTATGTGTGCACCTATGTTGTGCACATGTGGGTACTATTTTACACTCGAATTCTATGTTCAATAGTTATTTATGTGTTTAACATAATTGTGCTCTGCTATGATGTCAAGAGAAAAAGACTCCTGGTCCTGATCCCCATCTTCAAGGACTTTGCAATAGAGAATAGAAACTGTTTGTTTTAAATTAAGGCCATTAAAGTGTGGAAGGAGAGAAGGTATATACACACCATGGGTCTATAGAAGGTAAACTTAATAGGAATTGGTGTGGTTGTATGTAAAGGGAGAAGGAACTACAGAACCTAGGAAAACAATATGGTTTTCTGGCTGGAATGACTGGCTATGTTATGGTGCCTCCAAAAACACAGAAAATGCAGAAGGAAGAGCACATTTATATCTTCAGGGTAGTGAATTAATGTTGTCTGGGAGATGCTGAACTGAGGGATCCTATGGTCGGTTAAGCAGAGATCTCTACTTGGATATATCATGGAAACTGAAGCCCTACCAATGCTCACAGAGTAAACGTTTTTTCACACAACTTGGAAGGTGGTTAGCAGTTTCTTGCATCAGGAAAAAAAACCTATGAGAAGAAGGCAAACATATTCTTTTAAACTATTGCTTTAACTCTCAAAGTGTTACTCAATGGCTCAATACCCAGTGAGAGATGCAATAAGAATCCCAACATCCTGCAGAAGAGGAAATAGAAACTGGGGGAGGAAACCCACTCCTAGTAACTCAGTCGTTCAGAGAATGCTAGTGCAGCCTTCAGAGAGCTCCTCCCGGGAGTTCTGCTGCCCAGTGGAAATGCTCCCAGGGAGGCCCAGGGCATGCCTCCAGTGGTCTCGTTCACTGCTCATTTCAACAAAGCCCTCAAAATATGGCCTACCTTTGAGGTGTTGAGCCACACTCCATGTGGGGAATTTTCTTTGGATTGCCTTAATTCTGTCTGTTAGAATCCCAACAGCCTGCAATAGGTGTTCTCTGCTGTTCCAGGTACCAACAGGGTGGTACATTCGTTTATCGAGCTAGAAAATTCAGATAATAATGTCAGCATCTGGATGAGGCAGCACATTTTTCTGCTATTCCTAATTTCTCCTCCTTGTGTTCAAGTTCACAGACCCTGGCCCCACCCAGCACCTTTCCTTTATCCCCACAGAGTCAATTCTACTGTCCTTTCATTCATAGAAAAGAGAGTCAGAGAAACAAAGTAAGGTTTGGGAAAAGTGGACATGGGATGGTTTTAGCTAAGCAGTCTAATATATATATTAAAAAAAGAATAAAAGAAAAAGTTGTTTCAAAACAAATAATAGCACCCAAAATCTAGACATTAAGAGTAAAAAATAATTATCCAGCTAATTTAGATAAAAATTTGTTTCTAACTGGGAAGGGTAGAAGTCTGGGTTTCTACAGATGATTTAAAATACAGCCTGGAAGCAGATATCCAGATAATTTAGTCCCTTTGCTCCAATTTAGCAAAAGGAACAAGTCAGCTCAAGTGGGGCTTAATTCTACAGTGTTTTGATCCACAAGGGATGAAATTTACTACTTCATGAACCCCAAGAGGATACCTGTAGTAAGTAATAGGGCCCTTTAGGAGATTTTCTCAATTTAACTATATTGCATATTATTTATTGCAGAACTGTAGTTATAAAACTCATAAAATACTTTTTTGAAGATATCCAGTTATCGATAAGCCTTGAATTAAGTACCAGAGATGTGTTACAGAAATCCCAGAACAAATTATGCTGAAGCACCGACACCCAGATGTCAGAGTGTTTTGGCGCCTGGAAGCACTGCAAATAGATTTTCTTTTTGAGTTGAACTTCTGCAAGGAAGGATGAAGTGGGGCTCATGGAAAGTCTCTAGCTAAATACCTGCATCAAGCCAAATTTAAGTCCCCTGTGGTCCCAGCCATCTTGCAGAACAGCTCCACCATGGCTTTCTCTGGAGATGATGGCCGCAACGACGGCAGGGTCCACACAATGCCTCTGCCCCACTTCTTTGATCAGTGTCTGGTAAGGCTTTATGGCCCTCAAATCCATCTCAGCAAACATTTCAGAACCACGGATCCCTGAATCAATAGAAAAGAAACTATGTTTCCTCTCCTTCAGAAGGGAACCCTTTTTCAAAGTTTACTAAGTCAGACACAGCCCTGACCACTGCCCACAGCCTGGGACGACCACTCTGAGACATCCTTTTGATCTCTGACTGCAGAAACCCAGACTGGCCCACAACCCCCGACAGGTGCCACTTCTGCTCTGCTGCTGCTGCTTCGCATTTCTGTCACCGACCACTCTGAGACATCCTTTTGATCTCTGACTGCAGAAACCCAGACAGGCCCACAACCCCCGACAGGTGCCACTTCTGCTCTGCTGCTGCTGCTTCGCATTTCTGTCACCACGTTGGTGCTTTGGGGTGACTCTTGGATTAGGAGTTGGCCAATCCAAGTTCTTGTTTGGCTCTGCCACCACCCAGCTCTCTCCGTGCCATTGGAAGTCTCTCCTCCTTGCTGAGCCTCCGTGCTCTGATCTGTAAATCGAGGGGGTGGGGTGAGGTGTGACCTTGTGGCTGCTTCCAGCTCTGACATCTGATACGAGAATAACATCATGAAGACTTTGGAACAGGAATACGGGAGAGGAAATACAAAGAGTGCACGGCTTGCTCAGATTGCTCATACCCTAGCGTGAAGTAAACGCAGCAGCAAAGAAAAAACAAAGCCAGAATCTAGTATTTTATTTAAGCAATAGTTGCAACATGTAGAAATAAACACATCTGGACAAGGTTTGGAAAGAATACAGAATAAAATGAAAAGAAGTGGTTTGTTACATTGGTCAGGATCCCATTTTTTTCTAATTTTTAATTTTGACATCATTGTCATAATGATGATCATACATTTTCAAAATTAAGTTACTCCCTAGGAAAATCTGAAAGGGGGGTGGTGTTAGGGAGAAATTGGTAAAGGGCTGCAAAATATGTTTATACCGTGTAATGATAAAATTAAAAAGAAAGAAAAATCTGAAAATGTTGAAAGGGGGAAAGCCCAACATTTGCTTCACCTTTCACTTACCACAGCTGATCAAACTGTCTGCATCACAGGCAGCCCCAGAGGTCTCCATGGTCATGATGTCCCCGTAGCACCCGTGGTACAGGCGAGGGTGCAGGTGAGTGTTCATGGAGTGCATGAAAGGGTACGAGCCCCCAGACGTGCCTGGGGGGCAGAACGGTCATTCACGCGAAGCCTCTAAGAAAATATTGCTTAAGTTGCTGTGATATACATTACTAAACAAAAGGCAGCGGTCACAGACTTAGCCTTCCCTTGGTCCCTTTTTGTCATTATTGGCTCATCAGACAAAACAGAAGCTCCCCTTCCCACTCTATTCCAACCTTTTGTTTTATCTTGTCTTAATGCAGTGCTTAATTCTAAAACACCTCGCAAAATATTTTGAAATTCAATTTTTATAGGTCCCAAATACATTCACTGCAGTCTTGATCAGAATTAAAATTGCCACAGATTTGGGGCCAGCCCCGTGGCTCACTTGGGAGAGTGTGGCGCTGGTAGTGCCGAGGCCGTGGGTTCGGATCGTACATAGGGATGGCCGGTGCACTCACTGGCTGAGTGTGGTGCAGGCCACACCATGCTGAGGGTTGCGATCCCCTTACCAGTAAAAAAAGAAAAATTGCCACAGATTTTTAAGCAGAAACCTTGAGAGAAATTTTAAAACCCTCTGACAAAAATGCTTCTGGGGATGTTAACATCCACATTAACAATTTGCCTCTGTTTAGAAAGATAAGAAAGAAAGGTACCATAACAAGTTAAATATATTCTTATTTGATATGTTACTGTGAAGCTGAGTTTCTAAGTCTATTTAATAAAATTAGAAATATTTAATTTACCATAAAAATTTAAGGTAAGTCTATTATTTTCTCTCTCTTTCTGTCTCTGTCTCTGTCTCTCTCTTTGTCTTTCTTTTCTTCCTTCTTTCTTTCCCTCTCACTAGAACATAAATTCCATAACGGCAGGGTGTTTTTGTCTGCTATATCCTCCTCAGCACTGAGAACAATGTCTGGCACAAAGTAGACATCCAATAAATATTTGTTGAATGGGTGAATGAATGTTAAGTGGATAAGTGGAAAAAAAGAGGAAAAAAGTTTATCTAAATTATCTGGATTAGGGCCGGCCCGGTGGCGCACTGCTACGGTGCACCGCTTGGGAGCAGGGTGGCGCTCCCGCCGAGGGTTCGGATCCCACATGCAGGCTGGTTCCCGCTCACTGGCTGAGCAAGGTTGCGGGTGCAACACCGAGGGTTGCGATCCCGTTGCCGGTCCCGGTCCGGTGCGGGCGCGACACTGAGGGTTGCGATCCGTTGCCGGACACAAAAAAAGACAAAAAGAAAAAATAAAATAAAATAAAATAAATAAATAAATAAATAATCTGGATTAAGTGTCCACATATTGACCGCTTCGATCTTTTTACTGGGGAGACAGCCTTTGCCACGCTCACTGTGTGGCCCTCAGACCACGGGCAGCAAAGTGATCTGGGATGCTTATAGAAATGCTTATCTCTGGACTCCTCCCACCAAATCTACGGAACCAGAATCTTTAGGTACAAGGCCAAAGAACCCACAGTTGAACCAGCATATCCAGTTGACTCTTATGGGTAAGACTATAGAACCACTGCATTAAAGGAACTGGAATACAGCCATTGGCCCCTTACATCTCACCAACTATGCTTCCGGCCTTTCCCTCAGAGATCTCCTTTTCTGCTCTGGTCCCAGTGACCTGCTTACCATGTCCCAGACGCTCTCCATGCATTTCTGCCTCTGTGCTTACCGATGTCATTCCTCCCACCCGTCAGCCTCTTCCCTTCTCTTCTTAAATCACCAGGGATTTTTCAACTTTCATGTCCCCCCAAAAAGCCTTTCAGATTTAAACATCCTAGCTGGATGTGAGCCCTTCCTCCTTAGTTTTTTTTTTTTTTTTATATGAAAATTAGCACTGAATTTAATAAAGGATGTGGACAATATGAACACTGAAATTTATAAAGCATTGATGAAAAAATTAAAAATGACACAAATAATAGAAAGATATCCATGTTAATGGGTTTGAGTATTCAGTATTATTAAACTGTTTATACTACCCAAAGCAGTCTACAGATTCAGCACAATGTCAACCAAAATTTCAATGTCATTCTATACACAATTACAAATTAAAATTTAAAATATGTATAGAATCAAAAATGACCACAGACAGTAAAAAGTCAACTTGAGCAAAAAAAATAAATAAATAAACCTAGAGGCATCACACTACCTAATTTCAAAATATACTGCAGACTTTAGTAATGCAAACAGCATGTTACTGGCATAAAAACTGTCACACCAGCCAATGAAATAGGATAAATAGCCCATAGATATACCCACACATCTACAGCCAACTGATTGTTAACAAAAATGCCAAGAACACAAAAGAGGAAAGGACAGTCTGTTTAGTAAATGACGTTGTGATAACTACCTGTCCCCATGGAGAAAAAAAGAAAGACCCTGATCTCAACCACTGTTCAAGAGCAATTCAAAATAAATTCTAAAATTTGAAAACTACTAGAAGAAACACTAGTGGGAGTGGATCGTGATACTGGTCTGAGCAATAATTTTTTAGATACTACTTCAAAAGCACAGATAATTAAAGAAGAAATATACCAATCAGATTGCATACATGGCAAAACAAACAAACCAACAAAAAAACAATCCTAAGAGAGAACCTGTGGCATTCAGAGAAACTGTTTACAAATCATACATTTCATAGGAGCATGATATCCAAAATATATAATGGATTCAAACCAATCAATAACAGGAAAACCCTATTAAAAATGCCAAATAGGGGCCGGCCCAGTGGCGCACTGCTACAGTGCACCGCTTGGGAAGTGTGGCGGCGCTCCCGCCGAGGGTTCGGATCCCATGTGCAGACCGGTGGCTCACTGGCTGAGCGAGGAGCGGGGGCAACACTGAGGGTTGTGATCCCGTTGCCGGTCCCGGTCCGGTACAGGGGCAACACTGAGGGTTGCGATCCGTTGCTGGTCACGAAAAAAGACAAAAAGACAAAAAAATAAAAAAAAATAAAAAATAAAAATGCCAAATAGTCCTGGATGTGAGCCCTTCCTCCTTAGTTTTTTTCTATCTGTATTCATTTAACTCGTATCTGCTGCCTGGCAGTGATAGTTTTCTCTTCACAAGTCTTGCTTCCCAAGGCACTGTTCCATATACCTCTTGAAAAGACGTCAAGCCTAGTAGGTGCATTGTCAGACAGGAAGTAAGCAGATCAATAAATATTTGTATTTAAAATTCCCATTGACATCACCTTCACCTGCTTGGCAAGAATAATACACTCTTAATTATAGAAATAAGCAGTTGATTAATAGCCAGGCTGGTCAGAAGGAGAGCCCACTCCTCCATTACATGTAATCATTGCTCTTTCTGACTCATGATAGTGTTAGGTGTTTTCGGGGACACCGTGGGAACAATGCTAAATGTTAATCAGTGACTTACCGATGAGGGCAAGAAGTCCCCAAAACACAACAGAGGATTGCATGGTGGTGAGTCTTAGCCTACAGGACCTGTTCCAATGTGAAATAGAAACTGGTCAATTTTAAAACTTGAAAGTTTCTTAAAGGAAAGTGTTGCAATTAAAAAAAGAAGTGTAGAGTTATTTCCAATTCAATACCCATTTTGCATTTCACGGCCGGCTCGGTGGCGCACTGGATAGTGCGCCGCTTGGGAAGCGTGGTGGCGCTCCCGTCCGAGGGTTCGAGTTATTTCCAATTCAATACCCATTTTGCATTTCACAGACTCAGTATATGGTTTGTGGGATCACTGTCTTTCCTAAGCGTAAACTCCCAACTCATTTTGACCAATTGCACGTTGACACGGGCCATGCTCAGCTTGCCGCGTTGCCCCACCCACTCCCATCCATCTCTAAGCTTGGCGACTGCACAGTTTTGTTTGCACTCTTGTCTTCTTGGGGAAAACAAGACAAAACACAGAGAGGAACATCAGAGAACATGACTGAGAAGAGGTGTGTTGTGCTCCATTTTTTCCTTAATCAACGCTTTTCTTGGTCTTGTTCAAAAGACAGTTGCTAAATTTTACAAGATATGAGAAATCCAGCACTAACCTGGTTGGCAACCTCACAGGGAAAATCTCCCCTCTCTGTTTGCGAAGGTCTTCTGTACTCAGCTGCAATCTGCAAGTCAAGCTTTTACAAAGTGATGGCCTTTGTCCTGTAACATACGTCTAACAATTGGAGATTCCATTAGTTGGTAGATCACTGCACACTTGGCTTCAACCGAGCAGACCTCAACGTGGCTCTACTGCCATGGAGGGAGCTTTTAAACACCAGCAGGTAGACTCACCTGTCTCTTTTTACCTTCGTCTGGTACCAACGATCATTACAGGAGCTTTATATGTGGTTTGAAACCCTCTCTTTAAACCATTGACCTCATTAGGCCTGGTTGTAATAGCACTTTGGACTTAGGTGACCCCTTTAATAAAAGGATTTCAAAGCATTTATTAGCCACTATTAATTAATTAATCTAATGAACCCCCAGGTTGTACTGGAGGCAAATATTTGGTGGATTATTTCTGTATATCTAAAAGTGTACTAGGCAAAGAGATTCTAAATTTGAGAGTAAGAAACAGATAATTAGCCTTAAAAAGATAAACAAATAGGAAATACCAGCAGCTTCCATTCATGGATCGGATGTTTGCTTGAAATGCTGAGTCTCCCACTCTTTGTTCCCCATTCCAATGTCACATGACCCTCATACCAATATGTCACATGACCTCATACCACCATGTCACATGATTGTGATGGTTGAACTTGGCTCCTTGCTCCCGTTCCACCTCTGACAAACAGGCACAAGTGTGGCTGTTTGCTCTGGGAGATCAGTACCCAGCCAGGGAGTAGCAACATGGGTGCTCGCTGCCCAGACTTTCTGAGGATATGACATGGGAAAAAAGGATTTGGCCAGGAATGAAAATTTCTTGAAGGGTAGAGTATCTTTCTTCACGCTTATGTCCAAAGGAAGAAATGAAGCACATTGTATAGCTCCAGAAACAGGAAATGGAAGGGGCATTCTTGAAGCAGGCAAAGCATATTTCCCAGAAGGAGAGGAAGACGTCTGGATCATTCCACAAATATGAGAAGTTTCTCAGAGTGCACGCTGTCCTTCCACACATCCACCACGTGAGGACAGGTGTGAGGGGCTGAGCAGAAGACGGGAAGACAAAGGCACTGCCTTTGTCAAACAACTGTCCAGCTTCCTGGCAACACATGAACCACAGCTCCTAGACAACATGCCCTCGCTAAGCTATCTCTGCACTATCTCATGGAGTTCACTCCTGTTCTGCCTGCCTTTCTGCTCATAGAATAGGCCTCCAGCCTTCCATGTGGGGAAGAGGGACAAGGATATCTTGAGTCAATGGCTGCCTCCTGCCTTGACTCTCAGGAAAATGACTCATGGGGGGCTTGCTCCCCACCACCATCAATGCTGCAGTCAGGTCCTACTCTGAGGCAGCCCTTAGGAGCACATAGGCCACCACCAGGGACAGTGGCAACCTCACATTGGTGTGCTCATGGCCACCCCAGGGTGAGTTGGGCCACTTAAAGGAGGCTTCCACGCTAAGTGCAATGAGAAAGTTCAAGGAAGGCAGAAAAAGAAGGAATGGAGAAAGAATTAAAAGTTAGGCAAAAGATAGTAGGTGAAGGTGGAAGCTGTTCCTAGATGCTACTAGAGAATAAAAATGGTATTAAAACATTTCGGGGCCGGCCCGGTGGCGCACTGGAGAGTGCGCCGCTTGGGAGCATGGTGGCACTCCCGCCGAGGGTTCGGATCCCATGTGGAGACCGGTTCCTGCTCACTGGCTGAGCACGGTGTGGGTGCAGCACCGAGGGTTGCGATCTCGTTGCCGGTCCCCGGTACGGGCGCGACACTGAGGGTTGCGATCCCGTTACTGGTCAGTAAAAAAGACAAAAAAAAAAAAAGGAAAAAAAAATTAAATTAAAAAAAAAAGACATTTCAAATGCCACTGAATGTGAAGAATACTTTCTTTCTCTCCCTGCTTTCAGATAGTGGGGCTACAAGTCCTTGTAGGTATGAGTATTAATGTCCAGGCCCTCTGCAACTTAAATAGTTGTTTTCAAACATGTGTGTTGCTCTGCTTTGTTAAAACTGTGAGGAAAACAAATGACCACTTATTTGGCATCCATCATATGTCAGTTTCCTATGGACCTTATATTGCTCAATCATCCAATAACTTGTGAGGTGGGTGTTATCCCTTATTATGAGGAAACTGAGACTCAGCAAATTTAAGCAGCTTGTCTAAGATGGCACAGTTAACACATAGCAGAGCCAAGATTTGAACCCAAGTCTGTAAGATTCCAAAATCCATGCTCTTCTGCTATATCAAAGTTACCAGCACTGTGGGCCAACAACTCTGTAGAGCAATTATTGCAACAGGTTCAATTAACCTACACATAAAGCATTGTCTGAGGTCTGAATAAGTAACACCAGCCACAGATATTTATAACACTAACTTTCAAGTGTTTGCAGGTGCTACTGTAATTTCTAAAATACAAATTAATGAGTTGACTAAATCCACAGTGGCTTTTTGTCGCTTTATGTTTTCTCCACCAATAATAGTAATATAGGTAAACTTGCACACTATGCTTGGTAGAATACTAGTAAGGGGCATGGCCTAGGTTTGTTGCACTCTAAAGCCTAAATTTAACTACTATACCCTCCTGACCAGTGGATGGTTAAGTGTGGGTATTATCATATGAGGATCTTAGAAATTTCCTGACACTTAAAAGAAATTTACTAAATGATTCTCCAACTCTTCCCAGAGATGCCAAGAGTGACTATGCATGTGAGTTGTATTGCTATTGCCAGGAGGGACTTGAGGGGACCTTGGCATCTGCCTTAATCATCAGTCCCCAAGCTTCTCAAAATAGAAATACAGTCTATATGCAATCAATGTCCTTACTATACAAAAGAAACTCTGTGGCTTTGTTCCCTCCCATTTCCAATCAGTTGCCTGGCGGCAACACTCTTCGGTACAGCAATTCTCTGGTAGCCTTTAGCAATGTCCTAATACACTTGGGGTTCCTGGTCTAGTGCTGAGAACTCCAGTCATCCCTACCATCTAAATGGCTTCAACAATAGACTCTAAGCCAAGATGAATGCAGGTTTCAAAAAATCAACTCGGGCCGGCCCGTGGCTCACTCGGTAGAGTACGGTGCTGATAACACCAAGGCCACAGGTTCGGATCCCATATAGGGATGGCCGGTTTGCTCACTGGCTGAGCGTGGTGCTGACAACACCAAGCCAAGGGTTGAGATCCCCTTACTGGTCATCTTTTAAAAAAAAAAAAAAATCAACTTGCTTTGGTCAGTCTCACCAAAGGCAAGGCGTGGCAGGCAGGAAGAGTTCTGGCCCGAGAGTCTAGACACTCAGTTTGCAGCCTCAGATCTGCCACTAACCAGCTCAGGGCCTTGGATAGGTACCAGTCTAGTCATTATTTTCCTGTCTCTAGAGGGGAAAAGTTGGACAAGAGTAGGTGATCTCTGAGGTCTCCCTGGCTCCAACACTCTACTGGAGTTGGTGAGGCGAGCCCATTCTGCATCCAGAAGAGAGAATAAATATGGGAGGTCCGGCAGAGACTTAACCACACATTAAGTGTATATTACAGTCTTTGCTATTTTTCATGGAAAGTTGGACTGTATTTAAGTTCTCACCAAAATCATAAATGCAAGGCAAATCAGTTTGTGGCTTTGGGTGTCTTTTGAATTGAATTTTCCTTTGATTTTCCTCTCTGTCTTGCAGTTAGCAAACAGTGGAAGACTTCTATCATATGTAGGCCCAGAACTTACATTTAAGACCCTGGTTATTAACCATTTTCATATTAATGGAGACAATATGGAAAAAGGTGTTGTTTGCTTGCTTGCTCGCTTGCTCGCTTGCTTGCTTGACTGACTGATCGTTAGTCTCAGCCATAGTTATAGACTTCCCTGTAAGGCTGTCCAAGTCATGCCAGACACAAGCATTGCCAATGAAAGTTCTTGACTCTGCATGTGTTGGGAGGAGCCTCAAAATTTCCCAAAATAATGTAAATGACTGACAAATGAATTCATCAAGATTCTTTTTACTATAATTATCAGGAGACTCTCAGATCCAGGTTCTGGTTGCTGTGGCTTGTAGTTTGAGACTAGGTGGGGGCCACAGCCTGGGGGAATCATTGTGCTAAAGTGACTGTTACTGTGATGTTCAGGTCCGGGCCAAGAGTCAACTGCCTCTGACAATTCCACAGAATTTTAAACTTTTCCTTTTGCTCCCTCTCAGCTTCCTAACCTCAAAGTCCTGCTCTCCCTTAGGTTAATCTAATGACACAGTTGTATCAATGGATGACAGAGACTTAAAGTAATATCATTTTCAGGTACAACTTAAATTTTCAACCAGGGTTTGCCATGGCCTGAAGCTCCTTTTCTCAAAGTGAGAAATGAGTCAGTCTGCCGGGGGGACACAGAAACCAGAAGATGCAGATGACACACATTTTTGCAAAGGGTCATTTTTTTTTTTTTTCCCTTTTCCCTTTTTTCGTGTCCAGCAACGGATCGCAACCCTCAGTGTCACGCCCGTACCGGACCGGGACCGGCAA